CAAGTAATACTGACAGTACAACCATAGCATCCTCCTTCTTTCATCTCCGGGCCACGGACAATGAGCACAATGCCACAGACAATGTGCCCGTCCATCCAAAACATATTACGTGGTCACCACAACCCTATCCATCAGCTGAAGAACAAAAATCTTGCGACACTTTCAAATCTTCGCCGAATGATGATATATTTTACACCCCAGAAATGCTTCAAGTCCTTTCCAGTGACGACCTGTATTGTATTCTAGGTGTTACTAGGTCCCAAACAATCGACAGAGTGACCATAAGACGCGCCTATCTTTCTCGCAGCAGGGTTTGCCATCCAGAGTATGTTCCTTGTCACTCTTAGTGGTAATATCTCATTTTCACTTTGAACTCAGCAAATTTCCCGGAAATCCCGACGCGACGTCCGCCTTCCAAAAAGTCTCCGTTGCATACGATGTCCTCAGCAATCCGTCCTCAAAACGCATTTACGACTCCCGTCCTGCACATTCACAATCTAAATATGACTTCTTTGCCCAGTCCTCGCCCCATGCGGATGAAACGCTGAAAGGTGTTCTCTTGAGCGTCTTCAGCGAATTTCTCGAAGGCGATTTTGAGATGATACGCACATTACTCAGTAAGCACATGTCTACTTGCGTGTCTCACATACTCATGTCTCTACCTTCAGGGGCTATCGGTGACCTAAATCCATCACTTGAATTGGGTGACGATGGTGTAGACTCTGTTCTTTCGGTCCTCCTGAGTGTCCGTGAACGCGTCTTGAGTAAATCACCTGCCATACAATGTATAACTGATCTCACATCATCAACAAATAGCCTGCCGCACCTGTGTTGTTGCCCTCCACGGCGAGCTTTGTCGCGCTGTCGAGATACAAAGCGCCTTCCGCCAGCTTCCTTATTTTGATATCGCTGGCAGATCACGGCTCACTATCCAACTAACACGCATCACCATCTCCCTACCGGTTACTCTCGAAAATGCCATGCAAGCTCAATACGCCAATCCCACCTCTGTTCATCCTACGCACCATGACCGCGACAAGGACACAAATAAATTTGCCCTGCTTCCCCGGCGTGTAGTTCTTCTCATCAGGGCCATTGACGTAGTCCTGGACCGTATGGAACGGATCCTTGGATAGACTTGGCATTCTCCAAACACTGATTTTTACTGACAATCATATATGCACGTTTCATTTGTCTTTCACATTGTAGAGCTTGGCCTACCTGCATAGACTACTTTTATAGACAATACTCCTGATGTTCTGCCACCTGCATGTATTCATACCACACGCCATTAATCTTGAAATGATCAAATTAATCAGCCTACATCGCATAATCGTACATTCTCCCACATATTACTCTTCAAACATGAGGATAAAATAGGTGGATTTCAGACTTGACTAGACGAGAGGGATAGAACGACGATGAAGACAGACAAATGAGGAAAGACCGGAATCAAAATGTAAAATTTGAGGAAAGAAACATTTTAGGTTCATAAAAAGGAATACAAAAAGAGAGCCTCATAAGAACTGTCCTCAGCGTGAAAGCTGAGACACGGGGAGAGAACGAACAGATACTATACATGGATAAGGTGATTAGCCTTGATGCGCAAACGACATAGACCTCTGGCTCTGTGATGGATGATTCAGTAACAGCCAGTGGAAAGACAGCATCAACGACTGACGACATTCATCCACACCTGATTACCATGAGCGGGTACAATCTCTTCAAGCATGTATGAATCTGACGATGGCTGGCACCCATATGTTCCATTTGGCTGCGCCGCTGCCGCCAGCAGGTGGCTGTAACCCTGTGGGTCCTGACCAGCGTCTCCACCGGTAGCTCCGGCGTCACTATGAGGGCCGGAAACGGTACCGGGGGTAGCGCTCATCGGATTCTCAGGATAAAATGGGTAAAATAGCCCAGGGGGTACCTCTGCGAGTTTGTCCTGCGTATTACTGTTACCCAAAGATCCTTGAAGCCCTTTAACAGGGTTCGTGCTTACAGTGACACCACGCGGAAGCGGACCATAAACACCGGGCCCGACACCGCCATTTGAATAAGGTGGGTGTGACATCGTGGGAGTCCCCGGATGCACGCGCAATTGCTGTTGACCACTCAACGCTGGTGATGAGAGCATCCCAGGTGAATCTGTCTCCCAATCGAGCTCAGACAGTAAGACAGGATCTTTGGTAGGTCCAACTGTGCGGAGGTTGACGTTGAGAACTTTCTCAGCGAGCTTGGAGATAAGAGGGTGCCCTCCATTCAAGTCCTTTCGTTCCCAACGCCAACGGAAGCGTGGAAGCATGTCGAGTGCCATCCAAACGTCTTCGATCATCACCTGGCGTGAGAGGCGCTCGCAGTGAGACATGTGACCGTAGAGGATGACCATTGCCGCGATATGGAGAGGGATGGGAGAAACGAAAAAGGCAATGTCGGGGAAACGAATGAGCTGATTGTGGATGATGATGATGTTGTGTGACGTGACGATGGCTTTAACATGTGAGCAAATCGTCAAAAAATGGCAAATGGCACATGCTGAAAACATACCATCGACAAGTGCCTTCGAACGGTGGTTGTAGTCGAGTTCCTTGAGACTGAACAGGGCACGAAGAAGTAAGATCCTCGCTATACCAAATTTGAGTAATGTCAGTCCTTGATCTTCTGTAATGTCCTGGACGAGCTTCTGTCGCCTCTCCAAAGGCCAATCTTCAGTTCCTCCAAAGTACCACTTATAGCTATCGGGGAGCTGTCTCCTGAACTCGAGCATGCTCTTGATGATCCTCGATGCGTGCCTCATGATGGTGTCAGCACTCTGCCGTGAAGGAGCATAGAGGGAGTTGATGATATCCGCCTGTATCTCGGCTATGGGGTGAGAAAGAAGGAAGTGTTCAGAGAAATCAGCATTCTGGCCCTTGAGTCCGTGTGTAGGGCGAGGCGTGTTGGAGTCATAGGGAGCGATGGCAAGTGGACGTCCGAGAAGAATAGAAGTGCCTCGGTCATGCACCATGACAGTACCCCAAAGCCGGATGCGTAGTTGACACTCTTCATCTGTGAAGGTGTTGGGTTGCGCTGTGGGATCATGGTGCAGACCAAGTTCGATTGAAAGGCGAACAAGACTTCCGACCAAGCGCCAAAGGGAGCGGCCTTGTCGCTAATAATTGATGGCAGCATTAAAACCCGTGATGGAAAGTTAGAATGAACATACCTCGGTGTACAGATACCAATGTAACAGAAGCAGTGCCTGAAGACTGGAGATCGTGACACGTAGGTGAGGCTTGACGGCCAGCGCACGCTCGAAAAATTCATCGTGCTCAGGCCATATAGCAGGGAGCAGCTTCTTGGTATTAATCGGACTATCGCTGGGCGTCTTTTTGTCTTTATCAGTGATACTCCCTTGGTGATTCAACTCGCTCAACGTTCCAAGTGCCAGAATGAGGTACATGCTACAAATAAAGCCTGGATCATGTTGTAGATTCTCCCCGTCGTAAAGCGCATTCAACTTGCGCTCAAAGTCTGACCGGAAGAAGACAGGGCGGTGGATGTTGAGGTGGTTGAAGTAAACGTCAACGATCTTGTTCGTCAACGAGCGATCCTTGGGCATCCATAATGTTAGTGTAGAGGTGGATACCGTAGAAGAGCCACCAGGATTGCTGGTTGCTACAGAAATAGAAATCCATTTTGTAAGATCACGGGGCATCGATTGTTCCGTGATGCCACGATCACGCCCCGATGATAAGCCATTTGAGCCAACTGCAAGATCTTCCTTGTCACCTGAACCCAGGTGACTGTCGTTTACGATGAGAGGGTGAACGCCGAAGCTCTTGGCTAGTGCCTGTCAGCAAGATGAACGATGAGGGCACGAACGTCGCACAAAAAAAGACCGACCCTCGTAGTTGACATATCCAAAGACTGCGGATCTTGACCTTTGACTTCAACATTGGCCGTAGCAGCTACAACTGGAGGCGGGACTGGATGTGGCTGTGGTGGCTGTGGTTGAGGCTGTTGTTGCACCTGGGGCGGGGCCTGCATATGCTGTGGAGGAGGGGGAGGGGGAAACCCAGGATGAATAGGTCCGTAAGCGCCAGGGGGTCCTGGCATCGGCATATGTGATGGGTACCCATGCGGCATAGGCACACCGTAAGGGTATGCGGGGTGAACGAAAGGAGGCCCGTAAATCGCTCCGGGAGGAGGGCCACTTGGTTGCTGTGGGAACTGTGGGTTCGGTTGAGCGAATTCAGGGGCGGGATGACCGTCGACCTCGATGCCCTCCCTCCGACATATCTCATCAAGATTTGCCATACTGAAATCAGAAATATGGCGTTTCAAGAGAGCATCGCATTGAGCGATCTGGCGCTCGATGAACTCGGTGTGACCTCTCAGAGTGAGGGTCTGTCTATGTCTATCCTCCTGCTGACAAGGGACACCGGCAGTCGCGCACGCTGTACATTTAGGATGTTTCGAGTCGCACTGTATAATTCATCGTTGTGTCAGAAGAGAAGCTGGACTGGCGGACGGAGATTTGCGGTCGGTGTCTACCGACGGGACTTGCCTTAATTTTCTTGCTCCTGCATCGTGCGCAAGCCTCATGGGAGCGTCTGAGCCGTCTTGGTTCGGACGGTGAGCCAGCTTCATCGGAATTTGTGTCCGCCTTTCGTCCTCTCTTCTTGGAGGTTGTCGGCGCCTGTTGCTGATGAGGCTGATTAGGTTGTTGAAGCTGCTGTTGCTGTTGATTTGGGTCCATATGAAGGGCTGAATGAAGAGACGATGGTACAAGATTGAGGTCAGTGTGCGGAGGCAGGATGTGAGTCATCTTGCACGCTGTGCTGGACGATGAGCAGGGCCTGTGGACACCTGTCGTTCGTTGTTCAGCACGAGCTCAGCGCGCTAAGTACTTGGCTAATCATCTTCCGTGCTTTGTGGAAAATGCCATAATATTCCCACGTACTTAGCCAAGTTATGTATGACATATTTCTAATATAATTTATATAATTTCTTATACTGTTTGAGTGCGTGCTCTCATCGTCGGGAACCATGCCCTCACCTTCACTGCTCGGGCCATGCACTACCAAAATGCATCAGCCTACACTCTTACTACCGTACATCCCGATGATCCTGAAATTATGGAGTTTGCAGACGATAGAGCTCCCCTCCTTGCACCAGAATCTGAAACTGGCTCACTTTATGGAGCCACTCCTGCACATTTGCAGGCATCCCATGCATCCTCCCCAAGATTATTACTCAAGGCAGCCATAAGGATGGCAGCTGTGTTTATACTCAGCACGATTCTTCTAGGTGGAACTCTGTGGCTGACTCTTCCCACCCTTGACGAGTATGTCCTTCGAACTTCCTTCTTGCTTAGCACATCTTATCGAACAGTAGAGCCGACCGGCCGTCACTCCGCATACCGAAATCATTTGTTCAACTACAGGCTCTCAATGTCATTTTGAAAAAATACCGTGACATCTACCCGTTCCGCATCGTAATATGTTATGCTATAACATATTTATTGTGAGGTCTGCTCTCTCTCTATGAAGTAGACAATCTGACATTTTCCTTAGCCTACAAGCGTTTTCTCTTCCTGGGTCGATGTATCTATCTATACTTGGTGGAGCAGTATGGGGTGTGCCGCGCGCGCTCCCACTTGCTTGTACTTGTGTTGCTACTGGTGCAACTTTGTGCTACTTCATCAGTGCTGCGTTTGGCCCTGCGCTTCTCACCGTACCCAAGTGGAAAGCCCGCCTAGATAAGTGGTCGGACAGGATACGCGCACAAAAAGACAACACCATATCCTTTTTGATTGTCCTCCGCATTGCCCCCCTCCCTCCGCACTGGGTTGTCAACGTAATCTGTCCCCATGTTGGCATTGGTATTGTCCCCTTCTGGATCAGCACATGGTTGGGTATCTTCGGCGTAACTGTCATACACACGACGATTGGAGGTGGTCTAGATGAGATGACGTCCGCTGCTGATTTCCATCTCATTTCGTGGCGCAACTTCTTCCTATTATCCGCAGTGGTAGTAGGCGTCCTCATACCGGTGGGTTTACGCTACTATTTCAAGCGCGAGATTGCTTCCGTGGCCGACGTAGAGCAAGGAGGGTTGGAAGAAGATTTCTCTGAAGAGACGGAGGATCACATCCTGGCAGCTGGTCCAAGAGCTCGAGTCAAAAAAACAAGAGCAACACCATTGATTGAGCTTTCCGACGAAGAGACCGATGTGTACTCTGAAGACGAAGACGATGTTATTCTAGAAGCAGGCCCAGCCATTATTATCAAGGCATCCGAGGAGCCCATACAACAAGGTGGTAGTAGTAGGCGTATCGACTTCCTATAGCATGATGATGCGCAGTTTCGCTGCGTGTATTGGTATTCCTACCGTTTTCTCCCCATGCCATCAGCTAATCATACCTGTAGTTCCATGTTTAGACTGTATTTGGACTGTACAAGTAATATGTATACATGTGCCATTATCTGCTTACCAGCCAAATTACTGTGTCTAGATATCATACGAGGCCCAATATTCTGAAACGCTTCGACAAATATCGTGACATGGTCAAAGCTTGGGATGCACCATTGTATCGATGTTCCATATCACTACGGTTTCTCTCCATACAAGGTCTGATGCAAAGGCGAGTACAGTTCCCTGAAATGCTTGAGTTTGCATCATGGTTAAATGTCCGTGACAAGTCTAAATACCAATAATTGAAGGAGTTGCTACTAAGTAAATATCTAGTAGACGATATTTAACGATGTTCTGATCCAGCAGATGAGTCTCAGGGCTAAACATTTGTGAAATATCTCTAGCTGGGTGATATGTTAGGTTAACGGTTGCTGAGCATGCAATTGCAAGTATTAATACTAGCCAGCACTCACAGTCTAGGTACGTCCGATGTTGTTTCTTAAAAGTTAAGAAGCACACCACCACTGAGCCTACTTGGTGTTGTCATCATGTCATGATGAATGCTGCAATTCAGGTGCTCGTTGTGCGTCCCGAGGGATCGAATATGACCTGAGATATTAGTATACGGTGTCGACAGACATTGTCTATCATGGTCAGTCACGATTCGACCACTGAGCGGAAGGAACTTACTCGATTGGGGCATCACATGGAGGTGGCGTCAGGGACACGGACTCGCAAACCTCGCTGCCTATGTTCCTCCGTTGCCTGAAAAGACATACATTGGCCCTGCTATGCTATAAGAACGATTGAACGGAGTTGACCATGAAGATCGTGATGCCAGAACTACATATACAGATGATTGACCGTACCAAACTGTGTTGATGTAGGCTGGCAGCTTTAAAAGGTAATGAATTCATGTGCAGTTGCATGAAGTTTATGCTGGGACATGGTTGGAACACGACTAGCAGGGTGATGCCCCGCGAAGTGCAACGATTTAGGAGATCGAAACCGCTGTTGGGCTACCCCTGTGTTGTAATACTCCCTGAGACGGCATGGCAGGAACATAGCCTTTCGCCCCTTCATTTTTCCATAGAGCGACAGATGCTAAGCAGACCCTGAAGTCAAGATTATCACAGACGTTAGGCCTCTGCAGCTTCGCATCCAGTGACCAGTCTTAGACGCAAATATACTGTATTCGGCATCGGAACTCCTTTTCCACGGGATACCCCCCAAGCACTCGTGTGGCAAAACTTCGGGCGCCAGGCCAGCTGAAAGCCTCATTGCAGGCACTGAAATAACAGGTTATTTCGGAACTTGACGATTATCCAGGCATTTAGAGTAAACGCCGGGAGTGTCCTCCATAGTTGTCGGGTGATGCCCCGAAATGGTCAAGCTCGAGACGTTGCAATGTATAGCCTGGACAAAGCCAGGGCCCTGGCGGCTCGATGGCACCGTACCAACTGTTAGGACCAATTCGACCGAAAACAAAACGCGAGACCAACAACACATTTTTTAAGTAGCCCGATGTCCAATTTTTAAGCAATTCCCGAACCGAAAGGAAACTTGTGGAGTTACGATAAAAGAGACAGACTAGGCTCTCGACAGGAATCCGTGCGTGGAAAGGAGAAACAGCCATGATGATTAATTAGCAGCAGACCACAAAGGGTCAAGCATTTCTGTTCCTGATTTTACAGAATTGACCAAATGTGGTACAAGGAAATCGGATTGTGCTCGCAAATTCCCGAAATATATATGAGCTCGCCTGTAATACATGCCTTGAGGTTTCATGATGTGCATTTACTCCACACATGTTGAGTTGGAAGCAAGGCTCGAGCTCAACGGCGTAGCCCGAGTACGTGGAGATAACATACCGGAGGCACGGCAAAAGCCGATTAAAGCCAGTTCTCGCGGAGTGGAATTAAATAATGAATTAATGAAATTAATCATCGAAATAATTTCTCCCGTCGCTAGCAACATTACCAGGAGGGATCTCGCGGATGGGAAGCGGAGAAGGACTGGAGAAAATAAGGCTAGGAAATCAATATTTTTAGAGAATGTGGCAATTGAAAATACGAATTTGAATGATAAAAAATAATAAAGATTGAAAGTCCGACGGCCACGAGCTGAGCACAGGCCAACCGAGCATTCGCTTCATGGTGTGAAGCGCCGTCTGCTTCCCACTGTGACTGCCAGCATCTCCCCAGCTGCACGCTATCCCAAGCAGCGTCCACCGCGTCAAACAGTGCCCTCGTCGTAGGTGCTAACGCCAACGACGTTACAGAACACGTCGTGCTCGCTGTCACCGTCGTAGAACTCATTAACTTGTATTACCCATCTTGGTGCAAGGCTACGACCTTGCATTATGGCCGATCGCATGCCCCAGTACCAAATGAATTCCTTGCAAAACTTCATCTCCCAGCAGCATATGCAACAGCAGTCTCAACAGCAGCAACAGCAACAGCAGCAACAACAAGACCCTCAGATGGTCCCCGGGCTCCCTAACCCCGAACACAGTCGTATGTGGACTCAAATGCAGAACAACTATCGAGCTCAGCCGAATGGTGATGCAAATTCCGTTCAGATGAACTCACAAGTGAGTTTCTCCTACAATCCTCCAAAGTCATGTTCCCCCCTCTGCGCCATTTGCATTCGCTCACAGGACCCACCCCCATCCATGTTACTGATGGTCGGTTTGGGTACTGTTCTCGTCTAATCGATCACCGTATCTGCTATCATAAATTATACTATTCTGAGATTCATGCTTCCCAAGTCCAGTCAAGTCGATGCCTTGTTCAGGTCCAGTTTCCGTAATTACGTGTGCTGACTCCATATATTAGATGGCAGATCTCGCTCGAAACCAGGGGCTCGGTCATCACTCACAAGGTCCCTTGGTCCAACAGATTCAGCAGCAATTTGGTCTTGCATCCGCCCAGCGTGTCCCTCCCTCTGCTTCGTCCTTTCATGACCCTCAGTCCTCAAACCCTTCCTCTATCATACCACCCAACTTCCCCTCTATGCCTATGAATACCCCACAAATGAAACCCAGTAATCCGATTCAGGCTCAGGCTAGCCGTCCGCTGCACCCCATGGATCGTCCTCCCAATCAACAAAACCAGCATCCGCCACAGTCTGTAATGCCACACCATATGCAGCAACAGATGGGCGCACAGCCAGGCTCCAGTCCGCCGAATCCTTCGGACATGTTTTCATCTTCCAATATGACTAACGTTGATGCAATGCATAATTCTCCGCATCTGGCAGCACAACCTCTCGGGGCCCAAATGGGCCATCCAAACATGAGGGCGGCACCAGCCTCGAAGGTACCTACCCTCGCAGAGCTGATGCAAAGGAGGGATTATTTGCAATCAGCCATAAATAGCATGGAGCAAAATATCCAGGGTGTACTCGCGCAAACGAGAGGTTTCCCCGATGAACAATGGACCGCGAAGTTGGAAAAGATGCGCACGGAGCTTCACAACCGCAAGACACTCTTCCTCAGAGTTAATCAGGCTATCCAGTTGGCTTCAAATACCCCTGGCATACTTGGGGCAAATCTAGTACATCTGTAAGTTAGGCCGGCATATTGTTCAAGCTTCCTATTTACGCATTGTAGAGGTGGAATGGCCCCGGCTGCTGGTCGACCAGGTGTTACACAGGGTGGCGGAGCACCTCAGCAACCCTGGCCACAGTCGTCCAGTCCCGCTTCAAATTTTGGGATGAACACTGGAGCTAGTGGTCCTTCGCAGATTCCAACGCCAGGTCAAGCCCATCCCATGAATCCACAGCTGTCCGGACAGGGTGGTCAAATGCAACGCCCGGCTGCTGTACCCCCACGCTCTGGCTCTACTCCCCAGCAGCTCCCTACGGGCATGTCTAATACGATGCCACAGAACATGGCTCCATTCAATCCCCCATCGGCTGCTAATGGTCAGATCCCGAATAGAATGGTCAACTTATCGACACTCGGCGTCTCCCCTCTTGACAAGTCACACTTCGATGCTATGTACACGTCCTTTTGCAAGAACCGTCACGTGGAGCCCAACGTGCACGTTCTGTTACCTGATGGTCGCTCTGTTGACTTGCATAACCTGCATGTTCAGGTCTTTCGCGAAGGCGGCGCTCAATTTGTAAGCTCAGGACAATTTGCACTGTTCGAAGCATACTCATAGGTCACGAATCAGGTCACTCAACGTGATTGGTGGGCGGCCATAGGCGGTCGCATGGGTTTTGTACAATTTCCAGGCACAGATACTGAGCCAGCTAAGAGTGGCCCCGGCATCGCACAGCAGCTTGCTCATACATACAAAGAGCACTTGCAGGATTTCGAGAGCATGCTCGTCTTCACCGTTAGATCTCGCGCTGCACAAAAAAACAATTTGTCACAGAACGGTGCTCAAAACAATGTTCCTGGAAGTGCCTCAGGGGAAATGGCCCACTCCGTTATGCGCCCTCCTCTCAATCCGCAAGCCATGGCAAATGCTGCGCGTTTCGTCCATATGTCTGTTGGTGATATGCGTGCAAATGGCTTACCAGAGCAGACGGTTGCATTGATCGACCGGCACCGTTCGGATATAATGCGTTGGCACCAGCACAGTCGGTTGATGGCAACGAAGGCCAATCAGCAAGTGACCAATCACGAGGCGCCCGGTGAGCAATCGGGTATGTCCACCGCACATCAAGGAGGCTTCTCGGCCCAGATGTCGACTGCTGGTCCCAGCCTGGTACCCGCGCCACAAGCGAGGACAGCCATCTATGATGCCCAACGGCATGCAACCATCACCGATGACTGAGATGAAGCCTGTTCAGTCGGGAGGAATTTTACCACTAAGTCAAGAACAGATCACACATGCAATGACCATAATCCATCAGACGAAACACATTTTCACATCCCGTGGTTCGTCACATCTACATTCTCGCCCCAGATTCTAACCCCTCTGCAGGACTACAAACAATGCAACTGGTCACACTGCCAGATGATCAGCGAATGGAGTACAACCAGCTAATGGATCAGGTTCAGAAAATGACTCGGGACCTTGACGGAAGACTACCAATGTACTGGATTGTTCTGAGAGCGGATGAGATGATTCGCAGGCTCGTTGCAATCGTAAGCCCTCTCCGCTTGTATCTGCTTCTTGTCACCTTAAGTACAATATCTTTCCAGGTGTTAACGGTGGCACATCAAAGAACTCGTTTTCCAGTGGGGTCGCCACAAGTCAT